AAATTAGGTATACTAGATAATATAGCACACAAAAGTTAAACGGATTTTGTAATAAAATCTAAAAATCAAATCAATCAAATTTCTATATCTTAAATCCACCTTTTGATAATAGTGTACTCATTCTGTGGAAATCCTAGCTACGTCTCTCCAACGAATTACTCCCTCCGTCCCTATTTACTTGTCCATATTTCCTTTTTTGGTTGTCCCTATTTAGTTGTCCATTTTGACAAATCAAGAAAGGACAACAAATTTTTTCCTATTATACCCTTATTTACACTTCTTGAAAATTGTAAAAGTGTATGTTGTTTCCCTCCAATTTATTTCACTTGAATTCAAATAAGTGGTTGTAATTTTGAAGTGAAAAATTGTCATAAGGGTAAAATTGTAACTTCACTGTGCTAATCATTGTTGCCTTAATCTGTGTGTCATTTCTAAAGTGGACAACTAAAAAGGGACGGAGGGAGTAATAAGTCATTTGAAATGTACTACTCCCTCTCTTCTTATTTAGTTGTCACCATTTTAGATTTCGCATCTCTTAAGAAACTAGGTTAGTTTACCATTGTACACTTATTTAGTGTTCACTTAAAGTCAAGTTTTCAATCAATAAACATGAATTAGTTTATTTTGATTAATTAATTTGACCAATGAACATGAATTATTATTTTGATAGTAATATCTAGATCAATCTTAATCGAATGGATAGGGTCAATCTTTTGAGGAGAAAGGGAATACAAGTCACCATATAAATGTGATAAAAATCATATTTATACGATGAGTACGTATGACAAGTATAGGTGAGTTATGTGCAATAGCCACATTGTCATTAATTATTGGAAAATGACCAACTTCTTATTGGGCCTTAGTATCATTTTCTAACACTCAGAAGTCATCGATTTACACAAATCTCAAAATGGAACATATTATTGAAAAAGTTCACTCAAATAGCATCAAACGTTTTCCTTTTTATAAAGAAAAGAATTATGGAGGTATGAATTAGGGGAAAAAATAAAGCAAAAAAATCTAATGGTAATTAAATTTTGCACTTCTGGAAAATTCAGTGAAAGCAAGTAAAGAACAAGTACATGTTACTTGTAAAACTCTTTCACCGATTATGGTAAAACTTGAGAAAGAAGCCATGACTAAACCACGTGGCAGGAACGTTGAGAATATAATTAACTAATTAAAGTGAGTTATATCTAATAGCTTAAGCTTTTAGATGAGATGATCACATGCTTCAACATGATATCAGAGCATGCAAAGGCATTTCCACGTGCTTGGCTCCAGCTTAAACTTTTAGATGAGATGGTCACATATTTCAACCAGAAGCACCATCAAATGTCAATACAAGGGGAGAGATATTATTATAGCGGTCCATAGATGGGAGAGGTATATGGAGAACAGGTAGTACTCACTACTCAAATCCGTATTCCGTAGTGATTGAATTCTTGAAATTGAAATGACAACTGGCCCAGATAGGCCCAATATTAACTCCCAATTATTAGTCCAAGAAAGCAAAGTTGAGAAATTTAACAAAGAAGTAAATGTAGTTAATATTTGGTGAATAATTAATAGTGAGATAGCAACAAATATTCAATTGAAAATCATGGAGTTGATATTATCCATGTGGAAGTAAAAATTGTGGTTTGAATATTGTTGTTTTGGGAATGGAACAGGACCAATTACATATTTAGTGCTAAGTGGAGTAATGTATATATACGTAGACAATTGTTGTCCATTATTGACTTAACGCAAGGATTAAGAAGCAGTGAGCCCAATTATAGGTAACCCGCTCAATCCTCCCCCCCCCTCCCCCCAATAATTTTAAGAATTGGGCTCAAGATAATTTGAATTGGGTTCAATCTCAACCCATCAAGCTGAAACTCATTTTAAGAAATCCTCAATTGAGCCCAATTTAATCTCCAATTTCAACCCGTTTTAAGACTCTTAATTTTCATTGATGTAATGTTGTTACTATATTGAATGTATGAGTTACTATCTATTTTATATCTTTTAGGATTTATCTATCCAATTGTAACTTCTTTTTAAAATTTTCTTGAGTTGAAATTCAAATTATGGTTATAAAACTTAAATAACAATATATTAAAATTAATTGAGATTAAGCGGGTCAAGACCCAACCCGCTTTTAAGCCCATTTGAACCCAACCTATTTGATCCCAAAGTAAACTTGGGCGGATCAGAACCCAACCCAAATTCTATTTCAACCCATTTTAGTATCTTCAATTTCAACCCAACCTGCCCATTTGACACCTCTAAGAAGCACTAAATGATAAGGATAATTTTACTAAATCACCCATATTAAGTACAAGTCATATAAACATTGAAAATGAATAGTGTTTAATACTACCTCCGTCAACTTTTAATTGTCATAGTTTCCTTTTTTAGAGTCAAACGATAATAACTTTGACTAACGTTTTATGATGTATTTTTTCATCATATTGATATGCAAAAATTGAAACTTATAGTACTTTTCTTATAGTTTTTTAATATCTAATTTTTTTTGTTTAAAATATCAAATTAATGTAATATAATTTCACTTTGAAAATTAGTCAAATTAACTTTCGAAGAGTGCAAGATGACAATTAAAAGTGGACAGAGGGAGTAGCAAGGATAAAATAGACACAACATGGTAAATTATTCATTGATTTTATAAACTGGACAAGTATTGTTAAACATTCCAAAATAGTATAGTGGATAAGTAAAAATTGATGACGGGGGTATTAATTAAATATCTTGCCATTAAACATTTCATTTGATGGCTCTAAAACATCATTTGTTTAATCAAAACCTAATTATCTTTGGGACAAGAAATTTGCTTTTAACTTTTAGCACTATTGATTATATTCCTTATTTCTTATTTTCTTTTCTTGGTGGTCCAAATAAATGAATAAATATTAAGGTCCCAAAACTCTTAATAGGTGAGGTGAGGGCATGGAGGACGTGTGGTTAATTCTTTGAAAGTATTTAAGAAAAGCATCTTCATGAGGTCCCAAAAACACAAATTCTGCAAAATGTAATTTCTACTTTCTTCCTTTTCAGATACATGTCTATTTTTCCATTAAATTATATTATTAAAAATTCAACTACAAACTTGTCCTATCCACCCAATGATTGTGTATGTATCTTTTTATTGACAGGACTCAAAAGATCTAACCTTACTTGCATGTTTTTAAAGCATGTTGTCAACGTTCATCCTTTCAAAAATACATTATCCAACACAATTTTTGCACATTAGCAATTTTTAGTTTATATTTGCAAAACTATTTTTACTTTGAAACAGTATTTATACATCCTTATACATTACTCCCTCTGTCCTTAATTACTTGTCCACTTTTCCTTTTTTAGTTGTCCTTAATTACTTGTCAATTTTGGCAAATCAAGAAAGGACAAAAAATTTTTTACCTATTATACCCTCAATTAATTACTTTGAAAAAGGTAGAACTTCTTAAAAATCTTAAATTTTTAATTCATTAACTTCATAATTAATATGGGTAAAATGGTAAACTCACTTATATCAATTATTGTTTTCTTAATAAGTGTGTCAAATTCAAAAGTGGACAAGTAATTAGGGACCGAGGGAGTATGTATAAACACGTATGAACAATGCATATATCTTGTACAAAAATGTATCCACCTTATATACAAGTGTATATTATGTCATTAACTACAAGAACAAAATTTTCCTGTGATTTCTAGTTGCAAATTTTTGTTCAAAACCTATCCAAGTCCCCACAAATGTATTCAAATTTTGTAGAAAACCGTCATAGATTATTTTCAAATTTCTCACAGATATATTTAAAGTTCAAACTCACTTCTTCGAGCTTGTTCAATAATAGTGAGCGATCCTTCTAATTTAATTTTCACCATTCAAATATAACAAAATCTATAATCTAATATATATCACGATTTGAATTTCAAACGCAATAGCAAATCAAGTTTGTCAACCAATACAATCAAGAGACAAATAGGTTAACAAGAGAAAGAGGAGAAATGACATCTTTCACGTTAAGGATGGAATATGTGAGTTATTTTAATTTGGTTATAAGCTTGATCTAAGTGACTGAAAATATGAAAATTTCAATTTCTTACCCAACCATGCACTTTTTGGAAATGAAATATTACTTGTAGATAAACTAACTACTATATATAAATAGTGAGACTGAACAAAAATGGACAAATGCAACCTTTCGTACTCTTCAATGACATTTGAATAGGCATGTGTATCGCTCGGTTAGATTCGCTTTTGAAGTTTATTGGTTCGATTTATTTTTTATTGGTTTGTAGACATGCTAGTTTATCGATTATTGATTATTATCGGTTTAACTGTTAAGATTTAAAACAAAAATAAAGAATTGAAAATTACTTAGAAACAAGGTGAAAAACCAATTAAACCATGCTCACGAGATGACAGATTGCATCTTGCTCAAAAATAAACACCAACATATTCTAGAATAACCGAAAGTTCTAGATAGCCAGTACTAAAAGTATGAAATCCTAAGTCAAAGACTTTATTTACCAAATAATATAAATATAATTAATTAATTTATTATTAGGCTATCGATTAACCCGTTAAGAAAAAAATTTCAACTTCAAGATTGCACTTGATGATGCATAGTTGTATCAAACAAAATCTAGCCTTCAGTTTTTATATATCACATATGATGGCGGGGGTGGAGGGTGACCTACTTCATCCCCTGACTTCTCATTTCTGGTGGTATAACTTTTTAAGTGAAATGATCTAATGAACCCTTATACTTGTATGAATTTATATTCTAAAGTCTAAATGTTCATACTTAACCATTTGTCAACTAAATCCTTGAACCCAATATTTTAAATCCTTTTTTTCTTACTCAAAAAGGTAGAAGCACCGAAAGATATCCTATTTATAATTATAAGCAGAAAAAGAGAAAAAGCAAGGACTTGTTTCTGCCTTAATTCAAGGAAAAGCATTTAGTATAACAGATAAGTGTAGAAAGGGTGTGTAAAGCAGAATTTGTATGTCAAATGAGTTGATAAATTTTCAACAAACAAAGAAGACTTCCACTAGAATTTATAACTTTCTTTTTCAAAAGTGAACAATAAAGGTAAGGTAAATATGTTTATCGATATCATATCGACTACAACCTCCACAATAGTGTTTTAAAATTTAAAGGAAATTCTATGAGCAGAGTTTTGTCCTTTCCTAATGAATGCAGAAGCACCAGCTGCCAGCCTTCTCTTTTCGAATCCAACTCTACATTTTCCCTTCCACTTGTTAGGATATTGTGCTTTTGGGTAATCTTTCAATTCACTTTCCTGTAAAACAAAATAAGACGATTGTTAAAGAATCTTCAATTCTATGTTTTCTTTTTATTATTTAAAATCAATACAACATTTTCTCACCTTTAGCCAATATGGAGCATTGCTGTAGTAGCCAACAACTGACTCAAATTCACATGAAAACTTGTTGATTCCAGGAAAAACCTTAACTTTCCCGGATCTGATTTTCTCCAAAGCACCAATGTCAAGAACAGGGATTTTCCCTTGAGTGTGCTCAAAAGTGGATTTCCCAAATATCTCTCTTGCTAAAACATGAACCTTAATATTACAAAAAAAAAAAGCATTATTAGAAATCTTTAACTCTGAAAACATTTTGTTAATATATGTCACATAGGCCTAATTGAACCCCAAAAGTTAGCTCATATAAGGAGATCAAATTCTCATTCCTCTACTGATGTGGGACATCTTAACACAACTTATCTAAAAGCTGAATACATAGTATGAATAACTTACCGCGCTACGACAGGCCATTGATGGTTGAGTATCATGGTTACAAAGAGCAAGTGATACTTCCATCCCGGAATATCCACAACCAACAACAACAACTTGAAATTGTGTAGCATAGGACTGAAGGTATTCGATGAATTGTCTCTTAGAAGGATACTCAGGGTAATGTTCAGGAAATGGGAATTTGGGCAATTGACAAAATTGTTTAGGTAGGTGAAGCTTTAATCGATCGTAAGTTCTTTGCTGCCATAAAGAAGCAATACAATCAGATCGTTCCAATCTAACACAAGGGACACCTTGTTCTTTCAAACAAGCTCCAACAGTTAATCCTGATGGATCAGCACCAACAATAACAGGGCCATTTACCCAAACACATCTATCTTTATCTGAAAAACTAGACATTTTTGCCCTTTTTTTTCTTTGTTTCTGAATTGTTTGTTGTAATGAGAAAATAGTTTGAGTAGAAAGGAGAGGTGGTCTATATACAAGTGGTCAAAATAATGCACTGATTTTCCTACTTTATACGTTTACGTTCACACTTGCATCAAATTTCAAGAATCGAAGATGTTGGTGTATTTTAAAAGTCCTATATGATTAAATATTATAACAATCAATTTTTAACACAATTTGATGGTATTGTAGATACATATACTATATAGTTAGTTAGGGGTGATTATTTTTTTCAACACAATCGCTATCATTTTTTCTCTCTAGAAGGATTGATATTTGACTTAAAAGACTCTTTGCTTCCCACTTTTGATTTGATGATCCACCATCATAGGCGTTGCTTAATTAATTTCAATTCTTTCCTAAATATATGGTTCAGACGTTTCAGGGATTCTAATCTAAAAAAATGAGATGGATCATTCTGTTATCATTTATATTTATGAGGAATGTGATACTATTAATCTAAAATCTATATTATTTTGATTGTGTGGTGCAGATCAATATTAATCGAATGGATAGGGTCAATCTTTTGAGGAAAAATAAAAAATAAGAGCCACCACATATATGTGATAAGTCCTATTTATACGATGAGTACGTATGATAAATAGTTGAGTTATGTGCAACAGCTACACTGTCATTAATTGAAAAATGACTAACCAACCTAGGCTTTTAGTATCATTTTCAACTCTTAATAGGTTTTTAAGTGTTGAAAATGATACTAAAACCTCAAGTTGGTTAGTCATTTTAGTAAAAGACATCAATTCAAACAAATAGTGTTAGTAGGCGATGTTCTTTAAAAAAATTATGGAGGTATGAGTAGAGAAATAAGAAAGCAAAAAGATCTTATGTTAATTAAATTAGTATACATGTCTGCGCGATGCGCGATTATTTTACTTAAAAATTAAATTATAAAAAAAAATTACACATTTAAAGAACAAAAATTAATATGATTTATGTGAAGTGCTTTTAGTACAAACAAAATTTATGTTCTACAATCTTCATTGTAAAAATTATTAATAACAAATTTTTTGTATTAAATCATTATGTTACTTTAGTTTTAAGCGAATTTATTGTACAATTTTCATATTATCCCTAATACTCTTTTTGTAAATATTGTTTGTTCTATGGTTTAGTTAGTTTTCCTCGTATAGAATTTTACATGTAATAGAAATAAGGTTATATTAATTTGAATCCAAAATATAAAATATTAATTTGAATTTTATTTTTTTTCGAATATGTTTTCGAGAGTTTTTTTATTGATTAATTTTTTTTATTTTTGTTTTTATATAGTACGATTTCAATTACATGAACTTATTCATATAGTATGATTTTTTTATATTTCAAAATACTTTCTCATCTCAAATTTAAATTATTATACATTGAAATTATGTATTTATATGTTTTTCATTTTCTTGTTCACATCTAGTGTTATTGTGCTAACCATTTGTCATGTGTTCCTTTTTTTTAAAAAAAAAATCATTGTCTTTCTCTATTACTCATCTTCTAATATTATGTAGATAAATATATAACTTCTTACTTTCAAACTTATACGAAATTCTTATTATACTTTTATTTTATTAATCAAAATTCTTTCATTACTTAAATTTAACAAATGTAATTTCAATTACTATATGAAATCTAATTTCAATTACTATATGAAATCTAATCTCATCCAAATTAGAGAGTGAATGCAGCATATTAGCTTTTACAATTAAATTTAATAACTTTTTAGCATAACTTTTATATCAACGAAGGATGGAGAAGGAAGAAAGTGCATTTTTAAAAAAAATAAAAAAAGTAAAAATTTGTATCAATAATTACCTAAGGTATGACGGCATCTTCATTTTTGAATCATCTCAAGTATTTCTTCTTCTCCGTCAATATTCAAATTGATTTATTCATCATCATCATCATCATTATTTATATTAATTTTATTCTTTCAAAAGGAAATATAAACACATATTGAATCGTTAAAAGAATATGAAAACAACATAAATAAGGAACGTCAACCAAATTTAAATGGTAATTGAGTTTTGTATGTATATTCATCTAATAATCTAATAAATCACTTAAAAAGAGACTAGTTTAATTTAGCATAAAAATGAATAGAAAAAGGCTAAATTATGAAAAAAGGAAATATTAAATGTCATGCAAAGTATTAAATCGACGAAACAATTATCATAGCAGTAATTTATATACCAAAAATATTAAAAGGTGACGTACATGGTCCACTATCATAAAATTCTTCAGAATTCCTCCATTTCTTTATCATTAGTTTCTTCTTCTTCCTCGTTGCACTGGAGAGGATGGTGGTCCTTCGCCTTCAACCATAATCAAATAATTTCACATAAAATAATGGCATAATACATAAACATGACCTTTAACTTGACTTCAGCAGATAACTATGTCCTCCAACTTTGAGTGTGCACAAGTAGCTAGACACTTAAACTTGTATAAAATTGAACAAGTAGAGTGTCCTACATGGCATAATACACATAGGACGCCATGTAGGACACAAAATTGTCATGTAGGGTGCCATGTAGGACGAATGTGTCTATTTGTTCAATTTTATACAAGTTTAAGTGTCTACTTGTGCACACCCAAAGTTGAAGGTCATAGTTGTCAACTGACGCCAAGTTAAGGATCATGTTTATGTATTAGGCCTAAAATAATTTAGAAAGAAGACATGCATACATACAATACACTACTATACTTCCACTCAATTTTCTTTTATGATCTCAAGTGCAATCAAATTTATTTATTTTTGAATGTGATTTTTGTTACACATTTTTGAATTTATATTTTGAAGAGTTGGTTTAAGAAGATGTTGATGATAATGTAGTTAAGAGTAATATTTTTTCATAGATATGGCTTATGAAGTTTAAATGTTTTTAGGGATAAGATTAGTTATTATTTGAAGTTTAAATTTTAAATTAATTATTTAGTATTTTGTCATGGCTAGAGCTTTCTTTTTTTCTATAAAGAACGTGGTTCTGCTTCTTCTTCTTCTTCTTCTTTTTTATTTTTTATTTTTATGACTGAAAGCTTTTTTTTATATTATTCAAATAAGGCATGTGATCAAGATGAAATTTTAAATTTTAAGAAAGGAACTAAACTATCTCATTTTCCCTCTGAAGATCCACTGTTTTTAATTAATTTTCTTAACAATCTGCTTTAAATATTATAAAATTATGTGTATTAATTAAAAACAATTTTACAGTTACATCATCATAATTTTTAAAAAAAATTTAAAATTATTTCCATTTAAATAATTTTAATTGATTAAAAATATGCCTTTTGTGGTGCTACATGTGACATTTTTTCCTCTGCCTACTATTATATATAGATTTCTTAACAATCTGCTTTTAATATTATAAAATTATGTGTATTAATTAAAAACAATTTTACAGTTATATCACCATAATTTTTTAAATTGTTTTAAAATTATTTCCATTTAATTAATTTTAATTGATTAAAAAATATGTTTTTTGTGGTGCTGACATGTGGTGCTTTTTCCTCTGCCTACTATTATATATAGATAGATTTTGCACTTTTAAAATAAGCAATGAAAGCGAAAAACTGGTATGAATAACATATCACTTGAAGTTCAAGTGAAAGAACAAGTAAATATTACTTGTAAAACTTTCATCGAGTTTACAATAGGGGTGTACATGATCGGGTTGGTTCGGGTTTTTCAAATATTAAATCAAATCATTTGTAGTAAAAATTTTAAATTTATAAACCAAACCAAACTAATAAAATTCAGATGTTTTCGGGTCTTTCAACCTCAGGTTGGTTCGGGTTTTTCACATACTAAACCAAACCATTGTGTCGAATTTTTAAATTTTTAAATCAAATCAAACTAATAAACCTCGGATTTTTTCGGTAAAGTTTGCATACAAACATATAATTAACTTGTGCTCCAAATATTTCTTTAGTCCAACCAAAATACAATTATCTAAGGTGTTTCTTAAAAAAGTAACACAAAATATGAGATTAGTACTGGTGACACAAAAATATTCAATAAAAAATAATAATGAAATCATCATATAAAATAAATAATGCAAAGTCATAATGAAAATGATCATAATTTAAAAGTACTAAATCATGCTAAAATAAGTTTAATAAGTATTAGTTACATTACTAAATATTTAAGGAAAATTAAAATTAAATTATGTATGTTAATTGTCTAAACCAATGTAAAACTAAAAAACCAATATTCAATATTATTGTCATTCTTAGTGTTGAATTCATTTTCTTTTTGCATTAGTATTAATTTGATTTTGATTTAAGCTTTATTATAATTACCAA